TTAGGTAGCACCAGCCACTCGACTCTGAACTTTGATCTCGTAAACTCATGTTTTTGACTCGCCTTCGACTATTGGATTTATGAATTTGGATTGTATTTTGGAATTGGATTATCCCTTACACCTGTTTTTGTCTCGCTCAGGATCTCATCATCATCTACTCACCCTCGCTGTGTTCGTTTTCTGGAATATACTCATCACGTCCCATCCTCCTCCGCTGTTCCTGTTTGGCTTTCCCTCTGCTCCCTCACCTCTCCTGGACCTCTCACCCTCTGCCCAGCGTCCTTCCCAGCTTCCCCTCATCTCCTGATTAACCTGAGCACCTCAGAGACTTGAGCCGTATTGCTCATCCCCACAGGACTTCCCTGTGCGGCTTCAGTTACCGTTATTATAATAAAGACATTTTACTTTACTGCTCTGGACTGCGTGTGATGATTCTGCATGTCTTGGGTTAGACACTTACCTCGAGTCATGACAGTGACAGGCTGGTGAAGGCAGTAACTAGCACCACATCATGACTCACACACACCCATAAATGCTAACAGCCAATGAAAGTGGAACACTCAGTCAAGTCAAGAGCAACTGGTGTGAACAACCACAGTATTATTAACAATGGGACAGCACAGCCATACAGCATTACTTTGACCAACCTCCTCACCTATGGTGCCAACATGATACAAAAAGTAACACCACATCTGCAACACTGAATGAAATAATAACTGAGAACAACAATCCTGTATACAATAAACATGCACAAACACCCCAAAATAGAGCAAAATAACTGAAAACATGACTACCCACAATGCACCTCCCCCACCAGTTGTTTATTGTTCCTGAAATCCAACAAAATTGCTAGTTTGTGGTTGTTTTTCTTGTAAATCCACAAATATTTGAAATAATATACAAGTCTGTTTATCAGACACACTTTAGGGTTGACGTAAAGATGAATGGAATAATAAAGAAAATAAAATAATACATCAATCATTTTGTGGTTAACGTTACTCATTAAAGTTAAGTTGTCCTTTATTGATTAATTTAAGTTATGCTTACTTATAAAAGAAATAGTTCAGATTAATTAAAACGTTTGAGTTCAATGTACTTAAAACAAGGAAAAAGTTGAACAAGCTCAACACATTTGAGTTCTAAAAACATTTTTTTAAATTATGTGTTAAATCTACTCAATATATTTGATTATTTGAACTTTTGGGTTTACAGCTTGGCAGAAAGACCTTGGTGAAGGGAACGCTGTGTTAATAATCTCAATGTCAACAACACTGTAGACCCTTTCTTTCAGCTTGGTGTTTGTAGATGACCGGACACTGAAAAGGTCAAACTGTAGATGAAAAATGACCCTTTCTGGACATTCCATTTTCTTATTTTTAACTTAAATTTGAAATAATCTTTCATTAGCTTTGTGGTATTTTATAGTTTTATGACTTAGTTTTTCTGATTTTAACTTATTTCTGTTTTAAGATCATTATGCATAATGCTTGCTTAGTGTGAGGAACGCTGTAAAGTCACTGACACCAGTCAGTGCTAGATCAAAAGAAATTTGCCTCTGAATGGCGGGCTGAACAACTTAAAAGAACACCCAACGTGACAAACTCAAACTTGAATTTGAACTCTGACTTCTACTTAAATTACACTCAAACATATGTCAAAATGCTATTAACCTTAGCTGTACATTATAGTACATATGTTGGCTTCAAATACATTGATTTCATACTTCTCGTTTGTCTGCAAACAACAAAAGCGATCCTATAAAATGGCTGAGGTGCATGCACAATAGAAAGCACAGAAACTTGTTGTTTAACCTTCAGAGACGGTCAAAGTTTCATTACAGTGTTTCCTACATGTATATGTGTTTGTTTACATCTTATTAGGGCCAAGTTTATGTTAAAATATTTATAGACATACCTGTGGACAGATGAAGGAGACAGGTTGTCAAACCATAGCTCGTTTTATTCGGAGCTGCGCCTGCACAGACGCCCTCTATGCCCACAGCGGCGATACAACACTGCTGATGCCAATGATCACAAGCTTAATATAATACACACAGGCTTTATAATACAAAAATAAGAGGGGGTGTATGTTTTCATGAAAACTTAATATAAAGCGTTTTACAGCCTATTAAATGTAAACCTGCATATTTCTGCTGTGAAGTTGGCATTTGTAACATGAGGGTCGGAGGAAACTTGCTCCTTCCTGGGGCCAGCCCCTAGAGGGGGCTGCAATTTTTGTCACTTCCGCATTGGCTACACCTTTGGCAGGACAGAGTTTGCCCCTTGACCTCAGACTGGGGTCCCAGGACCCCATCCCTTGGGGATTTGTAAAAACACGTAGTGGGATCTGAAGAGGCACTGTGTGTATTGGTGGGGCCTAAATTTTATTTTCAGTTTAGTCTAAATGTAATCAAGAGTTCAGTTCTATTTTTAATCTGTCTACTCCTGTCATGGCAGCAGTAATGATCTCTAATCCCAGCTACAGTGACTTCTGACCACTGGGTGACCTCTTACGTAAGGAGAGCACGCGGGGACACCCCCGTCACGCTAGGTAAGCTCATTAACGATTACCGCAGGATGCTCAAGCTGAAAAAAACCACAGACACAAATAGCCTCACAGCTTGAGACGTTTATCAGTTCCAAACCTGCAGCCTCGGTTTTCATGATCATTACAGTTATGCGGGCTGTAAACGTTTTGTGCCTGATTTCTTCTTAAAAATGTAAAATCACAAGGTTTTCATCATGATTTTGTTATTGTCATTTAGTTAAATTCTCAAATGAAAAAACAGGAACTCAGGTATTTATTGTTAAACATTTCATGTTTGCTGTAGAGCTTTTTTTTGTTAGCGATAAAAATTCAATTCAATTCAATTTCATTTATAAAGCGCCAAATCACGACAAGAGTCGTCTCAAGGCACTTCACATTATAAACATTCCAATTCAGGTCAGTTCATTAAGCCAATCAGAAATAATGTTTCCTATATAAGGAACCCAGCAAAGTGCATCAAGTCACTGACTAGTGTCAGTGACTATACAGCAATCCTCATACTAAGCAAGCATAAAGCGACAGTGGAGAGGAAAACTCCCTTTTAACAGGAAGAAACCTCCAGAATATCCTGGCTCAGTATAAGCAGCCATCCTCCACGACTCACTGGGGATGGAGAAGACAGAGCACACACACACACACACACACACACACACACACACACACACACACACACACACACACACACACACACACACACACACACACACACACACACACACACACACACACGTGCACGCACGCACACACGTGCACGCATGCACACACACACACACACACGTACCTGTGCACGCATGCACACACACACACACACACACACACACACACACACACACACACACACACGTACATGTGCACGCATGCACACACACACACGCACACGTGCACACATGCACACGTACCTGTGCACGCATGCACACACACACACACACACGTACATGTGCACGCATGCACACACACACACGCACACGTGCACACATACACACGCACACGTACACATGCACACACACACACACACACACATCCAAAAATAAGTTTGTCATCCCAGTTTAACCAGCATGAGCTTCTCATGGCTGGCGTTTCCTACATTTTACTGTAAAATCCACAAAATATGAATAAACATGGAGGAATATGAAGCATTCATGTGCTCCAATAAACAGCAGGATAATCCCACACCATGTCTGTGTGACATCAAATATTGATGAACAAATGAACAAAAGTCCTATCTGAGAAGTCACCAATCCTCAGCCATCATTATAAAATGATGATAATCTGTGTTGATGCTGGAAGCAGCCTCTCAATAATTACCAGCTTGTGTTCAACATTTGCCCGTCCTTTAACACAATCATACCCCGGCAGGTGACAGTGAAGCTCTCTCTAATCAGACGTCAAACGTCACACTAAGCTGGACTTTTGGCTCCGGTCAGTGTTCAACACAGAGGTGCCTCAAGGATGTGTACTCAGTCATTTGCTCTTCGCTCCGTCAACACATCACTATTGTACTAAGTTCAGCACTCATCAGCTGCTCAGGTGAGTTGGTGACGCAGCAGCAGTAGGTCTCATCAACAGAGCTGAGGTGGAATCGGTGACGAGGGTTAACACATGTGCGGAGGTGTCCAGAGCACTGACAATCATCAGTGCTCAGTAGAGAATGTAAAATAGAAATTCCCTCTCACCCCTTTTTTTCCGAAGCACTAGGAGCACCCCGGCCTGCATCACTTCCCGATATGGACACTTGAGTGAGAGTAACGACAAGACCAGCTAATGTGTGGTGAGAATGCCTGAGATAGTTAAATAAGTAACACGAGAGCTCTCTCCTCAGCCTGCCCACAACTGTTAAACCTTCTGTGATTTAGAAGACCTTGTGGTTTCCTTGTATTAGGATACAGCTGCTGTATCTCCTGTTTCACCCATAATCCACCAATGGCTCGTTTTTACTTTTCCTTCATCTGCCTGCATTCATAGAACTAGTTTTTCCTCAAAAAACAAAGTACAAACAAACAAAACAAAAAAAACCTTCCCTTTCTGTGTTCTGTCCCAAAGAAACCCATCACCGTTCCATCAGGGCTTTAATTAAAGGACGCCCTGTAGCTGTATCAGGTGCATTTTATGAAGAAAGCCAGGCTTTTGGCATATTTTACTAATGCGACATAATCCCATTTTGTTCCTTCTAACAAAAACAGATTACAGTTACTGTATAAAGATATTCTCTGGTTGTAGAGGAGCAGAGGTTTAAGGACTCGGGGTCGTAAATCTTCGGAGACTAAGCAGTGCGCATGCAGCTGACTGTCCGCTCAAGGCAAGGAAAGAGCTGCTGAGGCATCAGGGGACAGCAACCATGTGACCACATTTGCAGTGATTGGCTCAGTGCAGATGTGACATCAGAGCCTCCTCCTCTCCTGTCTCTCCCAGTCTTTCTCCTCCTCTCTCTTCACATCCATCGCTCTGAAGCGCTTGTTTTCTCCCCCTCAGCATCCCCCCCCCCTCCCTTCCTTTTAGAGATGGCGAGTGTCGGAGCTGCTGAGGCATCTGGGGCCTAGCCCTCACACCGAGGACGCTTTTCTCTTGATTATTCATCTGGTTTGTCTTCTGGTCTTGCCCTCCGCTCTGGCTTTGAGCTCTCCTCCCCGCATCCCACCTCCCTGTGTGGGTGTCTTGGAGTTGGGCCTTTAGGGTGGCGGTGGTGGAGGAATTACCATCGTGCATCGCAGGGGAGCTGTGCAGAATTAGCCATGCCCTGCCCAGGCTTATTCTGACACACTGGATCTTTCCCTTTCCATCAGCCTGCACACCAAAGGGCAACGTAGGATGAAAATCTGCCACCATGATGCAAGGTAAACGATCTGAACACCCATGTGCTCCTCATCCGTCTGCATCCTCCTCCTCCTGCCCTCCTGTGTCCTGCTGGGCCATCAGAGCCAGAGAATCTGGTGATGTGCTCTGTCAGGCTGTGTGGAGCAAAGGAGGTGTGTGCAGGACTAGTGGAACAGCGTGGCTGGTGTGTGTGTGTGTGTGTGTGTGGACATGACATTGTGTGCGACAAATAGAAGGGCAGTGATTATGAAAGTATGAGAAGAGCAGGCAGTGTGTGTGTGTGCGTGTGTGTGTGTGTGTGTGTGTGTGTGTGTTTCCTACAAACGACCAAGCACTCTGCTGCTGCGGAGCATTTTGTCTGATGCTTTAATCTGAATGAAGTGCACCATGAATTATGATGCAGAAGCCAGAAGATAAGCATTGTCCTACATGCTCTCAGCAGGGCCTCAACTCTCGGGCTCAAAATAAGTTTTGGTAAAAGGACGAACAGCTGAGTCCTTCAAGGGAACTTCTGAGTAAAAAAATGCTCATGAAATACGTACGTGGAGTAACCGGGTAGGTAGGTAGGTTTTAACTGTTGCAAATCTGCAACGCCTGCCTCCAGAGGGTTAAGCATGCATGAAGGTAGCTGTCAGAAGCAGAAGGCTTGCGGCCAGCCTGCCATCATGTGTTCATGAGGAGATTCACGGCTGTCACTTATTCACCACAGCTTTTGGTGGCTCCGCTCTCACGCTCGAGGGATTCTGACAGGTGTTTTTGTTTTCTGTTGACGACACCTGTGGGTGCAGCTCACCTGCTAGCTTACCTTATCAACAGAGATTCAAATTTCAGGTCAAATATGGATCATCTCACTGCACATTGCCATGAAACTACTGTGGTTTATACAAGTCCACAACAAACAGAGAGGACAGCAGACACGGTTTGTGAAATCTAAATCATTTGTGTTTCAAGTATTTGAATCACATTTTACCATCTAGTGTTTTTTTAGTTGAAGTATTTTATTTGATAGATTATTAAAGGTCTTGGCCAGACTCAGCATTAAAATAGTAGAAAATCATACACTTTTCATCTATATAAAGTTTTGAACTGGGTTCAGTTTTTTATTTTATTAAGGACTTTTGTCATAAATCATTACAGAAAATCCAAAAACTGTGTTCCGCATACGTCACTCCAGCACGTAAAACAAGCTAGCTGCTGATGCTAGTATTGTGGATCACTCTTATGTGTTTACTTTCATGCTCCTAATTATTACGTAAATTTGCATTTACAGCTGCAGCTAAAGGTCTGAGCCATGTGTCCGTGTCCTACACGCATTTTTAAATAACAGGTCTGATCTAAAATAATAACCTACTTCTATAAATCCATCTAGAACCGCACCGCTACTTCTGGACTCCAGACGAGTCCCGTTAGCGTGACTAATTAAAGAGCAAGTCAACCCCTACCAGAGTCTAACTCCACTCCCACTTCATGTTTGAAAAATGCAACAAATGCTGTAAAATATCCGTCTGCTGGTGTGTAAGACCACCTTTTTTCTTACCGCTCGACTGACTGGGCGTTTGTTGAGGACGCAGTTTTTGGCTTTCTTCGTAGTCCACAACGTGCTCCGTTTTGAGGTGGTAAAACAAATGAGATGCATTCCCTCTATTCGCTAATACATTCTTCCGGCATACTTTGCAGATTATATTGTTCTGCTCCACATCTGACTCCTTCAAGCCAAACCAAGTCCAAATGACCGATGTTGCACCGGTCTTCTTTACGAGAACCTCCTCCTCCTCCACCACAGGCTCCGTGCTTTCAGCCTCAACAGACGCCGCTTGATGACATCATCAACATGCGCTACCGCGATAGGCCGATATAGTCAAAATCTCTACCGTTGGCCAAATTAATATCATTTCTACCGTATACCGTTTATACCGCCCACCCCTACAGTCACCGCTTATCTGAAAAAAGGTGCTGGATCAAAAAGTGGAATAAACAAAATGAGAATCCACACAGTTTTAAATCAAATGACCTGTTTAACTAAGGATTGTTTGGTGTGAACCTCCACAATTCCTGATGAAGGTCTTTGACCGAAAGCTTCACCAATAAACTCCTACATCGCAGATTGAAGTGTGCGGATTCTCCTTTTGTTTATTTATACTGTATTATTGTAAAATGAACCATTGTGTTCCACTGATAATTTTTTAAGAGAGCATGAAGCGCAACATCTGGTGGGGCCCAGCCCCACTGGCCCCAATGCAGAGACGTCACTGCTCCAAAGTGCTTTACCCAACAGTGAATTATTCACACGTTCAAAAACCAGACAAGACAGAGATGAGCTACATTGTAGCCACAGCTGCCCTAACAGAAGCGTGTAACAAATCAAGAGTTACACACACGCAAATCAAGTCACACATGCATAGCGATGGGTACCGAATTCTGTACTCTTTAAGGTACCGACCGAATTCCATAGTACCGACTGAGCACCGATTCACATCATTTGAAACGGTGCCTCGTTTCGGTACCCGTCCTTCATAACGAGAACTTGCCTAGACAGCTGCGCATGCGCAAGAGCGTTATGTCGTCGCTCGCTGAGAGCGAGTTGTAAACAGAGCAGCATGGTAGAAAGAACGCACGCTAAAGCTTGGGTCCACTTCACTAAATGTGATGGGTAACTGGGTGATGATGAAACCAGCGACAACGATCTAAGTGAGACATCCTCATCTTAATCTGCTCTGGTAGGTAAATAAAATGTTTAAGATAACGTTAGCTTGATATGTTAGCTTCTGTTTCGCTAATGATGCGTTCGCTTTCTCCTCGGAACTCAGAATTTCTGACTGGAAGAACATAAACGCACTCTAAAGTTTGGCTTCACTTTACTAAATGCGACGGGTGATTGGGTGAAGATGAAACCAGCGACAACGATCTAAGTGTGAGGCATTATCGTTTTAATCTGCTCCAGCAGCTAAATAAACTGTTTAAGATAATGTTAGCTTGATATGTTAGCTTCTGTTTCGCTAATGATGCGTTCGCTTTCTCCTCGGAACTCCGAATTTCTGACTGGAAGAACATAAACGCACTCTAAAGTTTGGCTTCACTTTACTAAATGCGACGGGTGATTGGTTGAAGATGAAACCAGCGACAACGATCTAAGTGTGAGGCATCATCGTTTTAATCTGCTCCAGCAGCTAAATAAACTGTTTAAGATAATGTTAGCTTGATAAATTAGCTTCCATTGCCACCATTGTTATCAGCTAATGGTGCGTTCGCTTTCTCCTCGGAAATTCTAACTTCCCAGTAGGAAAAATCAAATGATAAAGGACGGCAAAAGGAATGAAGATACACAGTAAATTTAGTTCACAGTAAATATGTTTGCTTCAGTTTAATTATCAGCTTATAAAACTACAAGGACGATGTTAAAATACAAACAGTTGAATGTTATTTATCGTGATATTTATCAAATATGGTTATAAATTCAGAAAAATTTATATTTAATCATAAAAGAGAATTAAAATATTAAACACTCAAAAGTATCGAAAATTGGTACTGTTAAGTACCGGTATCGATTCGTAGGTACCGGGAATTAGTACCGAATCGATTCAAATGTCAAAGGTACCCATCCCTACACACGCACAAATCAAGTTACGCACACATCTTTTGAGTCTGATTTATCTCCATACAAAAGGCTTTTCCTCGAAAGCGCAGAGTTCTTATGCTGACATTTACTGCACTGCTGTTATTTTGGTTTTACGTGGATGCTTGAGACACATATTAGCCGTATGAGCTGTCCTTCAACATTCATCATGTGGTTTTCTTTATTTTCTGTTAGGACTGAAAAAACGAACCAGGAAAGCCCTAGGCTTACGGAAAAAGGACAAGGACACAGACCCAACGTGAGTTTGCTCTGACACACATAATCTTCACCTCGGCAAAGGCTCAAAGCAGTCAGAGATTATTTTATTGGGATGGTTGGAGAATGAAACACTGTCTTGTTGTAAATGCTTATATTTAGACAGAAACCTCATGTTTGAGAGAACAGGAAAACAACGTCCTACCTCTAAATCCAACAGAAGCCAGATTTTCAGCTTGACTGAAATGTATTCAAACATTGCCTGGCTCCACAAATATACCATTCATGATTATTTTCTTTCATCATCTTGTTTCAAACAGGAGCTCACCTGACAAAGAAGGAAGTGGAAGTGGAAAGAAAGGGAGCGTACGTACATTTACAGTAGATTTCCTACATTTCCTCTGTTGTAAAACTGAAGAACAATAAGACGTGGATCTTAGAGGTTGTTAGATTTATCCCGGTTTCAGGACTGCACTTTTTATCAGATAGTTATGATAAATTATCAAATGACCTTCATGTTTGCATGGATGGGAACAATTAATTCTATTTTTATTTGACACGTGCTTTTTATTATTCATTTAATTGCGTCTTTTTTTTTTATTTTTGATGCTAGAAAAAGGCCAACGGGGCTCCTAATGGTTTCTGTGGGGAGATTGACTGGGACAGATATGTGAGTATCCATAACCAGAAGTTTAGAGAACAACTCCAGTGTTGATCTCCGCAATGACTCCTGTGTCAGTGTTTTTAGCTTCCCGTCAGACGTTTCTATGGTTTCAGAGGTAGAATTATGAACATTTAATATGTTTTAAAGATTTTTGTTTACTATCACATGACGTTGATGTAATGAGTAAATTGTCTCAGTCCTTCTAGACCTCTGTAGTCCACTCTGACCTGCAGGTCCGGATACTAACTGATGGACCACATTATTCATCATCTCTGTTGGGTTTGTCTCTGTCCTCCTGTCTCAGGAGGAAAGGCAAGGCAGCTTTAGTTATATAGCACATTTCAAACAGAGGGCAATTCAATGTGCTTTGGAGGATGGACCAGAAATTCTTAGTGGGGTTAAGGTTTGGGGATTTGGCTGGACCTGGACCCAACATGTTGATGTTCTGTTCCTGACCCATTTAGTTCTGACTTTATCTTTCTGGCCCGGTGCTCCACCATGCTAAGAGAGGTCATTGTTTATCACCAACCTATTGTTGGATGTTTGGAGGAGTTCCTCTGGGAGGATGTTTAAGGTATCATTCTTTATTCATGGTTGTTGCCACTCCACTGAGGAGCACCCCTTACACACACACACACACACACACACACACACACACACACACACACACACACACACACACACACACACACACACACACACACACACACACACACACACACACACACACACACACACACACACACACACAGATGTTACAAACAATTAGAAGGGGATCCATCAGAGAAGATGTCTTCCCGACCTCAGCAGTCCGATCCGCGGACCTTCAGCAGAACTTCCCTCTGCTGCCCTTCTTGACACCAGATCATCCTCCATAAAGTCCTGTACTCACTGTGTGTTTTGGGCTGTTGCACAGGACCGCTTCATGTCACACTGTGAGGACTCCAGAGGTGGCACGCTACCAGTGGTGGTGCCACGGGGTGCTAGGGGGCGCTATAGCTACCCCTGGATTAGTCATTGCACCCCCAAGTAAATTTTCAATTTATTTTTTTTACAATTTAATTTTAATTTAACGTGTGGATGTGATCATATTTAACATACAAAACAAAAATAATCAGTAAATTATCATATAGATAGTAAAAACTTAAACCAAAACAGGAAATTGATGTTAACCTTTGACCTCATTTTCCACCTGCCAACGAGTGAAAGGTAAGAGCTAGCGGTAAAATGGATCGGTTTTTGTTGCCCACATTTCCACGGGTTCAGTCAGAAACTAATGAATGTTTGGAAGTGATCTCAGACCCACAAAAACCTACGGACCTGGATGAAGAGAGTCAACCCTCAACCGCCGCAGCAGTCCAGGGTTTTGCTGCTGGAAATGCTAATGCTAACGTTAGCTAACCTTGCAACACTATAGTTGGTTTTCTGTGTGGCTGTATGTGTTTATGATTTAATGGAAAAGTCAGCGATTGTTCATATGTTTATGATGTATGTTAATGATTGTTTCAGGTGTTGTGCACACGTGTGTCTGCTAGTGTTGAAGGTGTTTTAGAGAACAACAGGTACGCATGACCACTTCCTTCATAGCACCTGCAGAAAAACATTTCTGGAGCCGCCACTGCACGCTACACTTGTCAATGAGCCAAACGACTGATGTCATTAGCATACTCGCAAATATCACTAAAAGCGACACATAATTACCAAGACAACAAGGATGAAAAGAGAAAAATGCGCCAGTGTTAACAGTTCTTTTATTAAACTCCAAACCAAACTAAATAGGAGTGGTCCACGTTGACTCCATTGTTGCTAATGCTACTGCTACTCGTCACTGGTGTTTTGCATCACTCCCAAGGAGTTTTTTCATTGGTCGGTTGCAGACTGGAGTCAGATTTTCTGACACTGCTGGATTTGAAAAGTGAAACTTCTTGTTCACACATAAGAAAAACTCAACATTCGGCTTCTTTGGGTTAAACATTAGAGAGGTCATTGTTGGGGCTGATTAAGGGCCACGACTGACTGACCTGAAATAGTGTTTCTATGTCAGGTGTTTGAGGGTCTGTGGATCCAGATGCTCTCACGCCTGCTCTGGTGCAGTCCAGATGAGCTTCAGGACCTGGTCCGGGTTCTGGTCCACCTGAAGCCTCCTTCCCTACTGATGAGAAATGTGCTTTGTCTTGAAAAAAGGCATTTTAGTCAAATTTACATGAGTGATTTCCTCTGGTTGTTCTTTTTCTTCTGCAGGCCTCTCCTAACGTCGATGAGGAGGGCTTCAGCCAGCAGCCTGGGGAGGAAGATGATCATATCCTTTCAGCAAGATTAGGAAGGAGGAGTCCCCAGACATGTTGCCTACAGTCGCACTGACTCGTTTGGCTGAGTGACTCATGGTTGAATCAATAGTCCTTCTGTGTGTGTGTGTGTGTGCGCGCACGCGCAAAGCAATGCTCACGCAGAAAGGAGCATCAGGACCGCATCAGTTTTGCACCATGTGTCATTACTTTAGTACCAGGGATATTTTAGGTATTCGCTCCTGCAGGAGTCAGTAGGACCTGGACTAGGACACAACAGACAGACAGAGGAACATGATGTTAGCGGCTCATTGTCACGTTGGTCTCCATCTTCTGTTGATCCGTCTTTATCCTTGACACTTGTTCACCGTCTTCCAAAGAGAAGCAGTTTTTCTCCTCCAGCGACTCTGAGGAGGACGAGGACAGCAAGCAAAAGTTCAAAATTAAGATAAAGCCTCTTGTGTCAGACAGCATCAGGTGCGTCCCTCCGTCTATGGACGAGCTGAAGGCTTCGGTGGGAGGACTGGCACTCTCTCCTTCTCTGGTGAGACCTCGACACAGAGCTCTGATGGGTTTCGCACCTCAAGTTTAAGTGTTTCCCTTTGTTTTCTTCCAATCGTCTGCTGCTGCTTGTAGAGGAGAAGTCCGGTAAGCTCGTCAAACGTTATCACACTTCCATCAGCTACAAGGATTTGCTTGGCATGTGATCGTTAGTTTTCTGCATGTGGTTTTACCGTCTTGTGCATCTTTAAAGGGGTCCCAGAACAACCTTGTTCCTATTTGAAACGGTTATTTGAGCCTCCATGTAATACATTCCATTTGTTAGGGTTCAAAATGACCCAGGAGCCTTGATAAATGGTCAAACACAACCCCATGGTGAAGCCCTTCAGTGGAAAGAGCGGTTTGCCCGTCCACTCCACCAGGATATGGAAAATAATTGAGCTGATTGGCCAGTGTACCCCGATTGTTTCTACTGAGGAAGGTGTTTAACCCAACTAAAAACACATTTTATTATGCCTTAACAGATTAACAAAATCTGACATATAGTATAGCAAAGACCCCACCCCCACCCCACCCACCCACACACACACACACACACACACACATCTTGCAATGTGAAACGCTTGGTCTCAGATTTTGTAAGAAAAATAATAAAATTTCCCCCCAAAATGCGACATATATGTTTTTTCTTCTTCATTACACATTTTATGGCTGGTGCGACTCCGGAGCGACTTATAGTCCGGAAAATACGGTACGTTAAAAATATTGAAAACTTGCTCAAAGCAAAACATATTTTCATTACGGAAATAAATTATAAACTTACTGATTTAATACTTTTTTAGTCACAGAAAGGTACTTTTCACGAAAAAGCGCCACAAACCTCCACCTAAACTTCGTGTGAGTTTCAGGTCGATGGGTTTTCCACAGAGTTAGCTCTGGTTGAAGCTAGCTAGCCACATCCGTTAGCTTAGCTCCCATCTCCGCGTTAGCTTTGGGTTAGCCAGGGTTAGCTTCAGGTTAGCTTGTAGCTAGTTCGACCGGGTGTCGTCATTTTATCCCAGCCTTACAGCCCCACCCTCAGCTCCTCCTCTCTTCCCTTTTGTGGAATTGTCTGGGCTTGACGGAACCTGTGACACGGTCAAAATGGCGGTGGTGGCCACCTCCCATTTTAGTACAAAAACGTGATATTGGAGTCTATGGAAACCCATTGTCCATATATGTATATGTCGATGACACACACACACACACACGCTTTTTCCAGTCTAAAACATAACAGGTCTGACCATCAGATGGTGGAAAATGCCCTGGAACTGCCCTGCAGCCTCCTAAAAAGTTTATTTTACTCAGATTTCAGAGATGTTGAACTCATTCCCTGCCAGCTGTTTCCTGATCAGAAAGCCCCTGACTGCAAACGTTTTTGAGTGTTTTTACTGTTTGAACATGTAAATGCTAAAACTACCTAAAGAGAGAGTAGACTAACTTCTTACACCAGGAAGAATCGGCGTGTTTCTAGCGTTATCCGTTCTTTCATAACTCGTTGTCGAAGTGTGAGCTGCAGAAGCGTTTCTGGTTGGCGCCTCGCGCTTTTTCACAGCAGCGTCCCAAAACTGTCTCCAATTTCGTGGATTTTCTGATCACGTGGCGTGTGACGTGTGGTTGAAGATCAGCTTTAGAGACGTGATGTTTATTCTCACAGTGCGGGGGCTTGTTCCCGCGCTCGCTTCCTTAAAAAAATGCAATTGACGGCTTAATTTACTGCCAGTGACGACTGGCAGTAAATGCGTTAACAGGGACGGCCAGAGTCATAACGGATATGTCTTCTGATGGTGAATAAGGAAACTGCTGAAACACTTTCCTACAGGTAGTAAAGTCAGTAGTAATACCTCGTGATCTGCTTACAGTACGTCGGTTGTAACAACTGTAGGCTGCACAAAAAACACGCAGTTGTTCATACAGTGTTGGCTTCATTTGGGTTTGGAGAGTGAGAATCTCACCCAATATGGCGATACTGTTGTACTCTGTAGCGCCCAGTGGGGCATCTACATATTAATGTCAGTGGTGTGTTGTATTTGTATAACTCAGTAAGCAAGCTATGGATCCATCTGGCCTTTATTCAATGTCAGAATATTTCCAGTACATCCTGGAACGTTACACGTTTGCTCCGACTTTGTTCTTTGTTGTTTTCCTCTCGCCACTAGAAGTAGCTCAAGTTAGCATTAGCAGTAGCTTGGGCTAACATAGGCTAGTGTTAGCAGAAACTAGGGATAATGTTGTTTGCACCAACATTTATGTAATGCCAGTGTCTGAAGAGGGTTAGGACCAGGGTCGTCACGGTGTGAAAATTTAACCTCACGGTTATTGTGACCAAAATTATCACGGTTTTCGGTATTATCGTGGTATTTTTTTTTAACGTGCTACATTTTCAGACAACTACATAAACCCTGTATATCAGGAAAATATTGTCCTCAGTTTATGTCTAAATTTTGCCTAAAATTTGTTATTTTGTAATTATGTTGTTTATTGTTTACATTTTTCCCCTTTAGTCTTTAAAATACCAATATTTACCCATAACTTCTTATTTTTTGTCTGTTTGATGTCATCATTTAAAAATATTAGACCAGATGATACTCAGTACTCAAGTAGCCTTCTAATCAGATACTTATTTACCCTTACTTGAGTAATAAACCCTATATCAGGAAAATATCGTCCTCGGTTTGTGTCCTTCCAGTGAGCTTTGCAGATGTGGGAAAATGTCATCAGGCAGTAATCGTTGTTAAATTCATAATTATTCTCGGAGAGAGACCAACTCTTATCTGCCCCTGGGAGCCCCGTAATGCATAGCGTCATTTCAACATGGCGGTGTCCGCGACACGGTTTATATGCAGGTAGCGGCGCTGCGGCTGCTTTATATAGCGACTCGTTGCATTCTCCCTCAACCCAAATCCTCGGATCACGCATTTTAGCTAAAACGCTAACGTTAGCTTGCCTTGCGTTGACTGTAGAGTTGTGGGTGATGGTCACGCAGATGTGTCATGAGATTTGAAGCGTTGCTGCCTTTCACAGACACTTTTTCTGCACGTGCTGCAAACAGGATAGCCGTCTTCTATCAGCTGTCCCTCGGCATTCTTCAAATATCCAAAAGATGCCCGTACTTCCCACTTTGTCTTCTTTGAGGGATAATAAATGTCCCGAGCGCTGCCGTCTCCTCCTTTGGCCATTATTTCAGCTTTAGCTTCAAGAAAGTTTTGGTTGTAAACAACAAAGTGCGCATGTGCCACCGGCAACTTCAACAGATGATACGGTGGCTGGTAAGGGTCACCGCGCCTACACTGCAGCCACGGTAATCCACCAAGATAATATAGTTTTAAAAACAAGACGGTTATTATTGTTGTCAACTTTTTTTACCAGGGTTTACCGCTACACCGGTTACCGTGACAACCCTATTTGGGACATGCAATTTCAGGGTGCATGTCCAAGTCGATGATGTGTTGAATCAGCTTTTCTCAGAACCAACCCCTTCTCTGTGGCCATAACGTCATTACTGATTTACAGGGAAGCAGGTCAGAGACGATACGGACTTTTTCCTACTCAACACCCCAAGCTACATATACAGTATGTGGCAATAAAGTAAAAGTGGATTTACATTCTAGAACCCCTTTAAAGTTGTAAAAAAGTGCTACTTTGCTTTTCTGAGCTGTTCTTGTCCTTTAAGTAAAACCATTAACCATTTGTGTTACATGATGCAGAGTGAACACAGCATAAAGACAACTGCAAACCTGCGGTTTTGGATCAGAACATAGGGGCCCGCCACGTTGTGATGATGCTCACCCTCAAAGTGTTATTTCGCGTTATCAAAGCTTTGCAGTGAAAGTAAAGAGATGCAGACTGTGTGTGTGTGTGTGCGTGCGTGCAGTTTGAGTTGGTGTCCATTTGACTGATTTGTCACTCACTCTCTGACCCAGGTCTGTTCTCTCTTCCTTTTTGCTGGTCTCAGAGACGCAGCCCGGTGAGTTTCATCTCCGTCTGCTGGCTGATTAAAGGGCGGGGACGGCGGGGTAAAAATAGCCGAGTGATTCAGGAGATTCAGGCAGTCGGCTGAACTCGGTTAAAAGGCTCGTAGCAGAAACTAGACTTGACAACCAGCAGCATGAACCGATGTTTGATGCCGAAACAAGAACCAACGTTTCCCTTTTACGTTTAGCGCTACTCAGCTAGTCTCATGCTTTAAAAGCACCATGAATGAGACCGATGAGAAGGAGACCTTCAGCTGCACACAGACTCAGCTGACTGTTTAGGAGCAGCAGCTGGCTCGTGGTGCCGTCTGATCTTTCTACATGAATAATCTCACTGCATCTACACTGCTCATTCTCAGCTTAACTTCGTCCCAAGGGTTCCTCTAGAATATACGTCTAAAAAATCAAGTGAATTAATGATGGAGAAAAGTTTTCATCGTTATTCCTGACGCCTCTTTGTTCCATCTTTGTAGGTGCAGCTGAAAAAGAACTTGTCCTGTAAGTAATTCTAACTTTTACAAAACATCTCCTGTTTTTCTGTGTGTAGGGTCCGAAGTATTTTTACCCTGGATGGTCACGCGCTCTTGATGAGGCATTAGCACTTCCTGCTTTTCAGAGCTGTGGTTGAGATTTTCTGATGTGTCTCACAGGTGAGGAGATCGCCAGACCCAGACGCTCCACGCTGACCCAAAGTCCTGCTCCTGAAGCCCAAAGGTCTGTTCTGCTGCTCACTAACCTAATTCTGATCCGGTACTAACAGGCCAGAACCAGACCAGAACCTGAGGACCAGAACCTCTAAGCAACATTTACAGCAACCTTTAAGGAAATCCTGCAGGCAGAGTTGTGTGAAACCAGGAAAGCCGGGCGGACACGGTGCGACTTTTTCACTCGTAGCACTCAACTTCAGCTCAAACCGTACGACTTCCTCTCAGGGCAGATGTCACAAGCCATGTGCTCACACTGTACGACCCAGTTCTCGGATGCGACCATCGACATATAAATATTGGACAATGGGTTTCCATAGGCTCCAATAACACGTTTTTGAAGCCAAATGGGAGGTGGCCACCACCGCTATTTTGACCGTGTCACAGGTTCCGTCAAGCCCAGACAATTCCACAAAAGGGAAGAGAGGAGGAGCTGAGGGTGGGGCTGTAAGGCTGGGATCGACTGACGACACCCAGTCAACTAGCTACAAGCTAACCCAAAGCTAACGCGGACGTGGGAGCTAAGCTAACGGAGGTAGCAACCTAGCTACAACCAGAGTTAACTGTGCACAACACCAGAGCTTCTGAGACAGAGATACGCCGGGCTGACCGCTGGGTAAAACCGGGTGGAACACAGAGATCTCCGAGAGCTCCACAAGCCGGCAGCCGCACAGCAGACAGAAGCCGCGATCAGACAGAGATGCGCCGAGCTGCGGGGAGGGGAGAACCGGGTGGAAAACATCGGTCTCCCGAGAGCTCCACAGGCCGATAGTGGGAACCCAGCTCCACCAACATGTTATATTTCAACCCATTTTCTAAAGTGCAGCATTATGTTAAATGCACTGGGTTTTACCCTATTACATTTAAATTTCATGGTTAAACAGTACATGTTAAAATCTAAGCTCAGCTCGGCAGTGACCTAAAATACATAAATATCATTTTACTTACCGAAAAAAATGAAGTGGAGACTCCTTGGACGCTCTATTAGTGCAATTAATGCCACAGCAAGTCATTTTGTCCAACAATTGCACAAAAAATATCCAAAAAAGAAAACACACACACAGAGACTCAAAATCCCGGAACAGTTTCCAGGCCAGACCGAGGCTCTACTGAGGCCTTTCCACGGAGCTAGCTCTGCGGTCACGTGGGTCTGATGCTCATTAATTATACAGAATTTTAGGCTTTTAATACACTTAAACAGAAGAGTGAGAAAAAATTCACCCCCTCAGAGTTGTCATGAGTGTAAACTAGATCATTTAAACCAAAAACATGTTCTGGTACCAGGCTGTAAACATGTTTATTTCTGCTGTGAAATTGGTATTTTTAACATGGGAGTCAATGAGGATTTGCTCACTTCTGACACCAGCCCCTAGTGGATGAGGGTGGAACTGCAATTTTTGGTACTTCCGGGATTGCTTCAATTTTTGAGGCGCATTGTGGGGGCTTGGATGCGACCTGACTGCTCACACTGTACGTCTGGTAGCAACACGTCGGACCTAAAAATATGCTAAAAATAGCAGTTTTTACTCAACACGTCAGACTTTTTTGTTTTGCCTGTTGTCCTTCGGGAGTGCTGCAGGAGGACACACAGGGATTTATGGGGGTTGGATGAGGAAAACGAAATAAAGAAAGTAAATCTGTGTTTTGTGATCAGTTTAATTTGACATGAACACGACAAACACGCTTTCTTGACAATCTTTGTGAGTAAAAAAACGTGTAGAAACAAAAACAAACAACGTGTGTTATTAGGGAAATAGCGGTTGAGCGGTGTTGATGCAGGATTGCGCATGCGCCTTGAGCGGTTCTGGTACTTTTTGGGTCGCAGCTGCTCGCAGCGCCGCTTCAACAGTGCGATACCCTCACGAGGGACGAGCAAAATATCAAACACGCCAGAAGTCCGTGCGAGCTCACGATTGCTGATCGGTAGCTGGTCACGTGGTGTTAATCGCCTCTCGTAACCCCCTGTACACTACACGACCGCTCGGCGCAAAATCGCCCCGATATCGTGGAAAATCGGCTCAAAAAAGTGAAAAAGTCACACAGTGTACGCCCGGCTTTAGGTGTACCTAATAAAGTGGCAGTGAGTGCAGAAATAAAGTCTGATCAGAGTATTTTTATTGTCAGGGAGAGTCCTCCACTAACAGCTGGTTCTCCTCTCACAGGGGCTCGACGCCACAGAATGTTCCGGTTCGGTTCGGTTTGCCATCGGACAGCAGAACCAGCAGATACGAGGGTTTGTTCCTCCCGATGAGACATTTCCTAACCGATAACTCTTCTAGCCCTAACTGTTGATCTGTGCTGCTGCTCTAACACCAGCGGTGCGCGGTGACACGTGGGGAGAGCCCAGACCTCGGTCAGAGTCTCAGCTGAGCAGAAGCTTCCCAACAGGAGGTGGGTACCAGAACCACACGCTGCTGGACCAGTTGATGTAAGCGTAGTATTTGAATCCTGCTGAGCTGCTATTCCACGTTGCAGCTCCTCCACCTCTTCCTCCTAAAACCATTCCATCGAGGAGTCATTACGGCTACCCGTCAGACGCCGCAGGTACGTTTGTGGTTGAGGTTCTGTGGATCTGGGTCAGAAACAGCTGTTTCACAACTCCCTCTCCCTGTTTGCAGCTGATCTTCCTAACGGGAGGGCGGCACGCAGTTCTGCCCCCATCTACCTGAACGTCCTTTCCCCGGCGTCGTACCGTGGTTCCCCGGCCCCTGACCTCGATGACGTCTTCGGCCCGGCAGACAGCCCTCGGATCAGTGAGGACACTGCATCTCCTAGATGGGTTACCTTCACAGAAGACAGACCTCCTCCACCTGATGAACCAGCACCACCTCCACCCCCAGACTCTCCTCCTCCAGACACCCCCTCGTCCACCCCATCCACCCCTTGTCTCTCTCCTGGACCACCGCCAGATGAACCCCCACCTTCCCCTCCACAGTTCTCTCCCATGTCTCCTCCCCCCTTCACACCACTGGACTCGCCCCCCTCAATTGTGCTTGGACCTCCACCTCCAGATGAACCAGCTCCTCCTTTGCCTCCTAACTTCTCCCCAGAAGAGGAGGGGATTGATGAGGAGGTGCTGCAGTTTGCAGCGTTTGCTTCCACTGCTGCAGCCATCGGCCCTGCCCCCCCACTGCCGGCGGTTCGATGGTCCCCCCGGGCAGGAGTCACCTCTCCTTCCATCCATGCAGGCTTTGGGGGGAAGAGGACTCCAGAGGGGATGTTCCACGGAGACGACAGAGCAGACATCACAGGCTCTCCCAAAGAGCTGACCCCCAGCTTCAGAGTTACCCAACCTCCTCTTCCTCCAACCACGTACAGGTCCATCATGTCTTCCCCGGGACCCGGCAGCGGTGAGCATCCTGTTGTCCTTCGGGTGGATTTAGATGAGAATTTAATTATGAGATGTTTCAGTACCTTTGGTAGGGTTCCAGTCCAATCTGCAAAACATTAAAACTCGTCGTCGTTGTCGTCTTCCTCCGCTTATCCGGGTCCGGGTCGCGGGGGCAGCGTCCCAACTAGGGAGCTCCAGACCGTCCTCTCCCCGGCCACCTCCACCAGCTCCTCCGGCAGGACCCCAAGGCGTTCCCGGACCAGATTGGA